TAATTGAAACAATCATTGAATTCCAACAGAAAGTTTATTATTATCATTATAAAAATTACATTAAACCAAATATAAATTACTTTGTTATTGAATTTAAATTAAATTATAATAAAAAAATTGAATTAAAAAATTATACAAAAAATAATAATTTTAAATAGTTAATTTGATACTAATATCGATATATTTTTGTCAAAATTTTATGATATCTTCAAAATTATATTTTATTCAAAAATAAAAATATCATCGTTTTTTTTCAAAATCACATAAGACTATATTATAACATCGACTGAGATAAATAATAAAATAAAATATTAAAATCAAAATGTATCTCGTTACATTGCGCGAGTACCCTTCTAGTAATAATAATAGTAACAATAATTAGTATATATGTATTTATATACACACACATATCTATACTATATTATAAAGAATTTGACAAAAACTCTTAAAACCCATTTTTTATGCATTAAGTACTGTTTATTGATGCACATTACTTAAAATTCAAGATTACAAATAAATTATGCATAAGTACAACTTATTAAACTTTCATGTTTGAATTCGTGTAACTAATTGCAGATAAACATTTTATTTTAAATATAGAAAATCTAAAATTTAATTATGATAATCATTGAGTTCTAACAAAATACTTAATTATTATTTTTATAAAAAAATTATATTATTAAACTAAAAATAAAAAAAATAAAAAAAAATGAGAAATTTTAAATAGTTAGTTTGTTACTAATATCAATATTCTTTTCCATTGTTTTTTATATTTCATGTTTATATTTTATTCAAAACTTAAAAAACATTATCGTTTTCTCAAAATCACATAAAACTATATTATAACATCGACTGAGACAAAAATAAATAAATAAAACGAAACATCAAAATTGAAATATATCTCGCTACATTGTGCAAGTATCCTTCTGATGTATTTATTATAAGTTTGAAGTTTTAATTAAAAATGGCGTATTGGGTGGGAGTTAAGTTGGCGACAATCTCATCGACGTATTTGGAGGATTGGCGCAACAAAAGGTTGGACCTGGACCTGGACCTGGACCACCTTCCATATTTATTTATTTTTATAAATTATTTAAAATATACATAAAACAAACTTTTATTTTTTTATTTTTTTATTTTAAGCTTCAATATCTATACTATATTATAAAATATTTAACAAAAACTCTTAAAAACCATATTTTATGTATAAAATATTGTTTATTGATGCATATTACTTAAAATTCAAGATTACAAGTAAATTGTGCGTAACTACAACTTATTAAAGTTTCAATTTTGAATTTGTGTAACTAACAATAGATAAGCATAATCAAATACATGATAGACATCTCATTTTGAATATAAAAA